TGAACAACTAACGGCGTAAAAAAAGTAGAAGACAACTGCGGCAGAACGCCCAAAGTTAGCTGGTTACAAGACCTAACTTGTTGATTACCGATTTGCCTGACCTCGCCAAGTCAGATAATCATCCGGTTTTATGCATTTCCACGTTCCTTGTCATTCTTTGATTGGTGAAAATTTAACTGACGATGATGCTGATACAAACCCATATTTGAATTAACGTTTCCTTTGTAATTACCAGAAATCCTATGAGTTTGGTGCCAGGAAATTGTTAAAATGGTGACAAGACGTCTAACGACTAATCAATGGACGTGCTTTGTATCTTTACAAATGCCATTTATCTCACATTTAACAGCTTGCAATGTGGTAGTTTGTTAGGAATTCACATTTTTGCGAGAAATTAGACAATTTTGGCATGAAGGTGGCTTTCTCGAACTGCAGATATAGATGAGAATTTCAAAATAAAACGCGCTTACGTGTTTGAGGTGACATGACAAACATGTAGAAAGCCACGACTGGCGACAGGATCTGCGATAGGCTGGAACTACAACAAATTAGATGAGAAATAACATTAAAAGAGACAGGTGTAACATTAAAAATCAGAAGAAAATTCTTACAACATGTTGGTATGCAAAGTGAGGCCACTTTAATGCTAACAGGTAAGCGCATTTATAAGGCGGATCGTGCAGATACGCATGGGCTAAGTTGATTGGTCAATTCGTGTGCGCGCTTGCAGGTGAGAGCGTTCCAACAACGCTAACAACAAACCAGCAGCTGTAGACGACGAAGAAGGTGAGGTTCCAGGATTTGGCTCCACACTTTCCACGTGGTTTCACGATCCAGAAATGTCCCTGTCTGGTGTTAACAGAAGATGTGAACACAAGCATAATTGAGAAGTCGGTGTGTTTTGATTGTGTGCAATAAAAATCACATTCATCCGGGGGCAGTTTAGATTAAAAGTGTGTAGTTGCTGTAGATTATGGAGAATGAGTGAAGCGTATTCAAAAGCGTGCCTTAACAAAGAACAAGCAAGCAACCACAACGAATCGACTGCTCTGGGCAGATTTTTCGAAATATCTTGCGTCATTCAAGGCCATGATAAGACTGCATGGGCAGTAGCAAATTAGACATAATCACAACCAGTTGCATTTCCCTTTCGTAGAATACTTCCTTAACTTATGCGTTTTTACGAAATGTATAACCAAATGAATAAATAAACCAGTTTTATTAAATAATGTGAATAAACATTTGACCACAGTTGCTAAAACCACGTTTCTTTAGTAGAAAGCAAGATTTTTACCCAATTATTGATCGTAACTTTTAGTCACGAATTGTAACTCTTAATCTTAAAGCAAGTGGCATTGAATTTAATCTCTTTTGATCAATATTTTTGAGCTATTTTGTTACTGTATATCACTAATCGAATAATTCAAATCGGTGGTCGATACTCTTAAAAACATTCCACCAGTATTGAAGAGTTTTTGTTGATTTTAGTTGAAGATCTAAGCCAAAGGCTTGTCCCAATGATCATTTGCTGGATCAGTAACATAACCGCTATCTCTCTGGGTATATTGATTGAAACAGCTGATCTTGTGGACATCGTGTCAACTGGCCAATCACGTTGAAGCTGCTGTGTCTTCTATTCACCGAATCTATTTAATTTCTACCCATACTGACAACAGAGCCAATACAATATCAGAGTATGATAATTTAGTAAACTGTGTGACAGACGGAATTAAACACAATTTGAATTGATCCCATTTTTGAATATGTGCAAATTTACCGCCTCGGAAACAGGCATCGATTTTAGCGTACCCTGGCAAGCCTGTTTGGGCACACTAGTTGGTGACTAAAGTCTGGTGCGTAGCGGGGGTTCAGATAAAATGCACACGTTTTTAGTGTAAAATTAACAAGTATTTTAATGCACTATATAAAGGACTACATCTAACGGTTTTATCTGAGGAGATTTGAGGCCTCGTTTCTAAGTCGAACTCAAAGAGAACCGTGGAAACATCTCTGATACAAGCAAGAGATCGATTATAAGTAGTATCAGCTGGATGAAACTCTACTGAGTGGTATTTAGAACTCATTACTCTTTTGCTCATCTTGGCCTCAACGTCTTGTCATCACCGGTTAAATAAGTGGTATTTAAGATCTGATAAATCTGATAAACCCAATTATACATAGGTGTAACCTTTCATGGGGTAACATTAACTCGTCTAATTTCTGATTCCCTGAACTACCACAAACCGCTACCGCGACAGAAAAAAGGACTATTAAATAGCCTAAGTGATGTTTGTGGTTACCTGTAAATACGTGGAAATGTACAGATATGATCTTACTTTGTACCCAGCGTTGCCTAAAGTGCAATTGGATATTTGGAATTTTAGTAATTTTACCAAGCCTTATTCCCTTGTTTACGGTTATTTCTGGCGAACAAGATGTGCTAAAATCGATATTCATGGGTTTGATTCGGCCGCTCGTTATCTTAATTTATTGAATGTGAAAAGTACACTCGTTACTTTGAACTGTCTAATTGAGCAAAATCAAAAATCTATTACAATTCGGTAGGTGCCTTTAGGTACTTCAACCACCTTATAGCAGGAATCAGTTGTTATCATGTTTAGAAAACATCCTTATAAGTTTGTAGGCATTTGCCAATTGTTATTGATTTTCATTTTGTTCACTATTTTCTTGTCCAATTTGAGATTTGATTGGTCACCTTAAGGGCAATTGGAGTCGCCTTAATGCTCGTGTTTAATGTGCTAACCTACTGTCATACTAGAAAACTGTACCAAAATGCTGAAATCTTCAAGATCAGTACTCATCAGATTTTGTGAAAGTACCAAATGATATTGAAAATCAATTGAATTAAATATTTTTAAGTATAACATGGGAAAAAAGAAGCCAGAGAGTAGTGCAGATGGTGCACGTAATTTAAGAATTTGTCGTGGGGAGGGATCGAATGTTGGTCAACACACAGGAGCACATGTAAACAGGCTTGCATGTGACCTTGGTGACATCGCGCGATTTGCAGGTGAGTTGTTGAATGTGGTGTGACTTGGGAGAATGCAGGTGACCTTGACTTGTTTGCTGCTGTCAGTGACCTTTCTTGGCAAGCACGACACCGCACACCGCACACACACACACACACACGACAACACCAACCCTGTGGCCCTCCAGTGACAAGCCGCAGCTTAGAAGCTCAACTCATTGAATCAATCGGCATTCGTGATTGGCTGGGTGTCTGAGATGTCAGAATCGAAACCGGGCACCACGTAGGCCGCGCTCAACTAGAATCGCTGCATGAAATATATGACTAATAGAGCAAGATATTAACTAGTAGCATGGTGGATTTCATGTCGCAAGTAAATTGTGTTAGCCATGGTTTAAATCGGTGGTGCATCGAACGCCAGTAGCTCAATTTATTAATGCAACTTCAAAAGGCAATCACGAATTTGATGTGGCTATTTCAAGCTGACTTTTTGCATTTCAGTCTGGTAAAATTCAGCTTTTCTCTCCTCCAAAGCAATTAACCACACATGCGTCCAAATTCATACAAACATTTGTGAAAGGAGGTCACAGTTTCACATATTTTGCTCAAATTTAATTTAGCTCTGCAAACTGGGATCAAATCAATTCATTTATTTTTATTTTTTTTGCAGTTGGGTCTAAGAAACGTAAGCTGCTGACCTGTTTCCCCGTACGCAACACATTTTACAATCCGAAAAGGCGGCAGGATTCATGAAAACTGGTACAAGTTAAACAAAATCTCAATTTTTTGGATGTTACCTAGTACACAATGTTGTTTGAACGACGAAAACAGTTTGTGACTTCCAAATAGCTTTCGACCATGTGTAGCTGCTAAATGTACCAAATTACTTTCATGTATGATTGTGATATGAGAGTAGGTTTTCTACAAGTCTAAGCAGCATCAGCCAATCTCTTGGGCTTAGTGAATTTCGGTCACAAGTATGCAACGACAAGAGTGCATTATTCTTCTGAAACCAAAGACATTTCTAGCGTGTGTTGACATTTTGAAGTTTGTTTCAACCTTACAAATATTTAAAAGAAATGATTTTACTAAATGCTGCTTAAATCCCTTCAAATTTGTTGCTTTAAGCATGTTTTCTTTGACAAAACCATTTGTTACAAAGCACATTTTTCTAACGTGGATTTATTAGAAACATGACACCAGAAATTTATTATTCTTGACCCGCAACTAAGACGATCGCCTTTTAGAATGAAATTACAAACAATTTTGACGAACGTTTTTTTTAGATTTTCCGTATACATCATCAGTATCTTGCTTGTAAATTTCATACCAACAATAAAGATTCAAATTTTCCCAAAATATTAACGGGAGCACTGATTTAGAAGGGCCTACTGAGTACCCAACCAGGAGTAGTCTAAGACGACTTAATTTATGGCTTGTCAGGTAGAAAATTTTTAACGAAGGCACTGAAAATATTATCGTTGTTTTCAAGTTTCCTGAGTAAATTCGAATGGTAACTACGCCTGTGAAATTCGCAGACGGAATTTTTACTTTTGCTTGTTAACTTTCACATTTCCTGTCCTGAAAAGGCAGAATCTTCAACATTTTATGCTTTCAAGTGGAAAATTTTTGTTAAATGCTGCTCCTTTTCAAATATTCGAGGAGGACACATACTTCATGTGCCTACTTGACCTAGCACGGCTTGACGACTCATGTGTTTTGCCGATATTCTAGTAGTTCCAGACATCAGAAGGCGTTTTTTGGGTTGGTTTAGTTTTGCCTACGCACGACAACACCCCACGCCACCATCACACTGCTGTTGGTGTTGATTTGGTCTAACTAGGCCTCCAATTTGCCAACGTCGTTACTGTTGATGGATAATTTGGTTATCGTGCCACTTACAAGTCACTCAAACTAACCGGTTTCTGCTGCCCTTTTTGCACCCCTGCTCTAATCTACGGGTGAAAATTTCCTCACCTAGTCAGATCAAATCACCATCTTGTGTGATGAGTCAGAGTTGCATTCTCGAAGGATTTCTGGGTTCCCTTGAGTCCCGAGTTCTGTGAGGTTTGGCTAACAGATGGATTGCCACGGTGATGCGACGTGGACAATCTGAAGCATTACATGATCGTGAATTTTGAAGGGATTGCTCAACATGGTACTGGATTTTTCTGCGATAGCAGCAAATCCAACGATTTGATAGCATCAGCCATAAACACCTGCTACGTCTAGACCCATCGACGCCCCCGAAAATGTTGACAAAAGTAGAACTTCCTCAGTTTTAATCTGCTGGAAAATTGGCGTCCCAGGAAAGCTTTTTACAAAAGTAAAATACATACCGGTTATCAGTGAATAGATGTATAAAACATGGCAAGAAGAAAGGTTGGCACAGGAAGTCAGAAAAAATAAAATTGCCTGAGCTCGTAATCACATTCCATTGATAGCTGTAGTTACCACTAGAAAAAGGAGAATTTTTTGGTTAAATCAGCTTCGCTAAAATTACGAGTGCTTACCTATTAAAACAAGGGAGCCGAATAAGCTGTTCTGACTTGCACTGTCAATAAGTGCGCTAGTAATTTCACCAAGTGGAAGAATGCTGAGGTAGTCTTCAATGAGGTTTGGTTTTACTATAATTTTTTGGAAAAAAAAATTGAGGACGCAAATTAGTAAAATAAACAAGTGGGTGATACAGTAGAGCATGAAAAAGAAGCAGCCAACTTACGGCTTTCATCCCCAGAAGCTAAAATGAGATAACAAAAGCACTAAAAAGTGGCCATAGAAAATGGTGGTTTTCAGCAGAAGATTGAAGAGCTGTCCTTGGATTAAAAGGTTTGGTAGAGATGAATGAATTACTAGTAAAATCGTCCTTGTATTTTAAAAGTGTTAGATTCAGCATTAAACATAGTTGATCGTATCATTTTACCTACATTTTGTGCAAACCTTGTTAAACGAATCAAAAATGGCTTTTGTATAGCAGGAAATTGGTGTTTAGGCCTACAAACGAGGGCTAATAAGGCCAGCAACCCAGATTTTGTTCCATAAATTAGAAAACAGCATTTTGTGCTTCCTGGTCGTCATGTAACCAAAACATATTTTGTATCTTGCTGGAATATTCGATGTCGAATGTGGGAGGCTGTTTAACTCTAATTCAGTCGACTTACCACTTAAGTGAGTAAACTTCAGAAAGCAATTGTTAATCACAAACGAGTTAACCAACTGCCGGTAGTTTTAATTAATGGTTGGATGTAATTTTAGCTAAGACAGCTCACTTAGTAAAAAAAAGTATAGTGGTTATTTAAAAGGAAGAAGGAGACAGCAGAGAGGAGTTTTAGACATTTGTAGAAACGAATTTCGGCCCTGGTCTCTAGGATCGCTCACAACTGAAATATTTGAACGGAAATGCTTGAAACCAGACTTCACTTACTCCAGTCGATCGTGTAGGTATCGTGGTAGTTGTCATATGAGATGGTATAGTAGTCGACTAACCACCGTTCCTTAACCGTAATTTCGATGATTTTGTGGAAAGGCATGTCTTTAACTTCTGAAATTCCAAAAAATCACGAGTGAAGCAGCGCCGGTTTGATGCGAGGGCACTTGGGTAGAAGTTAAACCTACGGAAGTTCAGTATCTGCGAAAAGTTCTTGACGTTGTCCGCACCTTCGTTTTCATAAACCAGCAAGTGGTCAGCGGAAAAGTAAACTGAAAACTGGGAAAAAACCAGGATTGCAAAATTAGGATGTAGAATGACACTCTGGTGGTCAAAGTTTTCAGCCTACCATAAAAATAGACTGTTTTGGATTTAAAATGTCGTTGTCTTGTGAACTTAAAATTAAACATGGGTATACCTAATTTTGTCGCGAAGCGAAAAATTTGTTAAAAATGGCGAGAATTCCAAGTTTATTTAGCTACGTATTAGAATGGCTAAGTTAGGCCAGGTCGCACCGTGTGCAATCTCAGGTACAGTGACTGTGATTGGACGAGTCTTGGCCAATGAAATGGGCCTTTCAACAATCCAAGTTGTTTCGGCGTAAATGAAACTGCGTCTTTATAGGTGATGTAGAATGAAGGAGTTGAATAGCAGCGGATGTTACGCAGATTACTGTGCGGTTTCTAAATCAAGTCCGATTTGTCTTCGAGTCCATAATCTCTCACACAACTTGAATTATGCCAGTAAAGTCGATTCTGCCTGAGAATAACAGTAGTTCCTCTCACAACTTATGAAAATTTTGCGCCATTGCACAACGACAGATGTTCGTCAATAAGATCGAGAATTCGTACTGATTTTTAGTACCAAACTTCGAGCTTCTAGAGCATTTAACGTGACATTAAAAAATTTTCGGGGCTCATAGGCAAACTAGTAAGAACCTTAGTGAATGTCCAAGCACTTTACTGCCGGTCAGTTGAAACAAACTTAACAAAATGACTAGTTTGGTGTACTTTTTTGACTCACAGCTGGTTCTGAAAACAGCGAGGTGTGAAGAATCACGCTTGAGAAGGTTACAACCTGCTTGCCCTTTGCATTGATCACCAGTGGAAGAGTAAACTGTGACTGTATGGATCCTAAAAAGGCAAACAAATCATCTTTATTAAAGACCTCGGGTGACGCCGTTTTGACGTTGAGTGGACCGGCTGCCATGGCAACCACAAGCACAAAAAGGAAAAGTAGCATGATACAGGGAGACTTACTGCCGTCTATCACAGGCCAGTAGTGCTCAGGATAGAAGAGAACTGTAATGGGTGCTCGACTGTTGTTGGCGAAAAATGTCAGCCGGGTCAGGCCGTACGTTAGGATTCCGGTCACCGTAGCAACGGTTCGATAAGGCATGTCTGAATACAAATAAAACCGATTTTATCAGTCAGACTCAAGGCCGTGGCCAAACCAAGGCTCGTTGGCATGATCAGGCGTCAGCGTTTCCTTCTGCTGACCGCTTGACTCACCTTCCGTTATGGTGCAAGTGAACAGCGGGGTAGAGCAGTTGCCAGCCGTGATTTCGACCTCATGTATTCCCGACACGACTTTCTGAAACACCGAGTTAGTGAATGGGTAAATCGCTTACTGTGTAGACACCAGGAAGCATGGTTTGAATTTTAAACTCCGAGTCAAGAGGTCCAGTTACCACGCGAGTATCCCCTGGAATCATTCCGCCACTTTGTGTCGCATCTAGACGGCAAACGAACAAACGGCTATCAATGCAACAATTTCCCGTTTTTCACCGGCAATTTCAGTGTAGCTAGAGTAGGTGTTGATTGCTAAAGCGAGACGCACTTGTGTCTGATCGGATAGCAAGTCAAGAAAGCAAATTTTTATCTTTAGCAGTTTTGTGGCACCTTTTTGGAGTACGAGTGTCACGAAGATGTGACTTTTGATAAGTAAATTGACCATATAACGCAATGTAACAAGCTGTTAGTACATTAATGTGACAGCAAGACTACACTTACAACAGAACCGTAATGCGTTAACTTTGATAAACCGACCTGATAAGCAGTTGAGCAGCAAGATGAGGAAGAGAGGTGCTTGGAGAGGCGACCCGACTTGGCAGATTTCCATTGCTGTTTCGGTGGATTTTCCACGTAGGCGATTGCACGACTATAAATATGTGCTTGCACATGCCGCCGTGACCTTGACTAGTGAGCGTGTGGCGCGTTTTGTGAATGGTTTTGTGTGATGTGTCAAGGTCTAATGCAACAGCTGACGAACACTTTTTGATAATGCAACTGAGAATGTCCTGCACAACACCGTCTAACCTCTACGAGTTTAAATAATTTGCCAAGGGGAAGACAAATAACTGGTTTCTTAAATAAATTTCTATCTCCCTGTCGCGAGTTTATACAACACAGGATTTGAGGCAGTCAGCATTTTAACAAAATTTTAAAAGGACACTTTAAATCTTTAAGAACCTTCCAAATTGTATAATTCGCTGTTTAGAAAAGGGAAATATTTTGCAAAATGAGATATGAACACTGATGCGCAATCCAGATATCCAGCGTTTTAATTAGTCCTGCGAAGTCTTGTTCAGTGTTGTGGTTGATAGAACAGATCAGTCGGGAAAACGTTGATTAGCTTTAGATGAGTGAAATCATGCAGATCAATTCTGGCATGTATATAAGGCTTAGAAACTGTCTTCTCTTTTGTAAATAAATAAAAAAAACAAAGTGTAAACAAAAAATGTAAGCATCTTATTAAATTAAGTCTAAAATGACAGGAAGCCCTCAAAATCGGCACAATAATATACTTCCCTGCAACCCTATATTAATCTCTCTACTTAAATATAAAAAGTAGAGTTATTTTATACGCCCTTTTTTGCAACACTCAGGTTAGTATACGAAATACATATTCACTTGTAACAGTAATAATACTTTTGACTTGACTTGAAATAACATGCTACTTATGATTTCAGTAGCCGAGTTCGTTCAAATTATACACTTGATATTTATACCATTGCCATCGACAGTCGACGTTAATGAAATTAGCAAACACTGACCCAACGTGCACAACTTGGCCTAGGAAAGGGCAGCAGTAGTCAACAGAATGCGTGTAGGTCAACATATTTGAATGATATCGGCCATCCAATTAAATGTGTGAGTTTTGAACGTAAAACCATTGGCTCTTCATGACCAGTAATGTTGCGCTTTTGAAACCAAGAAAAATTCGTGCTTGGCTACACAATATTCAAAAGTACTTTGTGTATTTTTGCACTGTTTCGTCGAAAACCATGTCATTTTAGTAAATTCTAGACTTAGACACATTTATTAGTTAAACCATTCATCATGTTTTCCCCTAGAAGCAATGAAAACAGCCATAAAAGGCTATTTTTCTAAGTGAACTTAATTATTGCTTGAAATAGTTACGACCGCCAATTTCTACCCATCTGCACACTAAGCGTGAAATTACAAGTATTTTCGACTGCGTACCACACAAGGTCAAATCAATGGGCAACAACCAATCAGCTGAAACCGGCGCCTGTGATTGACTTGTGCATTTCGACGCAGATGCTCCTATTCCAGCCAAAAGCCTTACTTCTTAAGTTAAAGAGTGCCACCATATTATGCTAAAGAAATGCATTTTAAGCTTACCCAAATGTCCCACAAATTTACTATGATCCTTTAACCAGAAGCCATGGTAATTTTTTCCGGCTGAAATGAACAAATGGGTTGTTTTAATCAGGCCGCACAACTCCAGCGCAGAGTGCGAGTGTCTCAAAAAGGAGCTTATCTCGTGGTGATGGCTGTGAGGTTTTCGATTTTGATTTTTTCTTACTTCAAACCGTATATCGCAAGCGTCCTTTTTTCCGTGAAAGGCGAAGCCATTTGTAGGAGGCAGTGTAGTAAATCACTCTTCCAATCAACAGTTTTAACCAGATGAACACATTTTAGCTTGTGGTTATTTGTAATTTGTGTAGTAAAGCCTTAAACTAAGTGCTGCTTTTGTCGGAAAGGACTAAAAAACGACTGTTTTGCAAGATATTGAGATTAAAAGAGCTAGGGTGAGATCAACCAGTTAGAAACTGTTTGTGTCTGGGGCGCTGTGTGTTTCGGATGTAACAAAAAACTTGTTCTACCATTTAGAGAAATTCTAGGATGCACCTTCTAATCATCCAATGACAACAGCTGAATTTCATCCAATCGAATTTTTTGCATGTTTGATCAAATCTGATTCAGCCATTGTCCTGGTAATCTTCATCTCTAGTAGTGAGCATTTAGAAGAGTGATAGATACCATAAGAAGTGTGAATTTTGGTTAAAATAGAAACAGGAATTGACACGCATGAATCCGACCAATCAGGAAAGAGAAATTTTATGCACGACCCACTAGCCCATACAATTAAGTGACTATGATTGAATATTCAACTTGCTAATTGAACAAAATGCACAGCATTTATAGAAGTTGAAAGTGCACATCTACATTTTTTTAATCTGCAATTTTCCTCTTCATCAAGCTGCGAGTTCGCGCTTTGTTTCAACCAGGAACTAGCATTTTGTTCCCCCTAAACATTTCTCAGTTAATTAAAGAGCAAAAAAAATTGCGGAAGAAGATTCAAATGGGCGTAAGATGTACGACAATTTGACGTACAATTCGTGTTTTAGACAAAACTGCAAGCCCGATTCAGGACTAAAATCTTGCGAGGCATTTGGCATATCCAAATTCTAAAGTGACCAATGGTTAGATCTTGCTTACATCCCAGGTCCTATTCATTACATATTCAACACCTGTCTTAATCTTGCAGAATCCTGTCATTTGCCAGTTTCCGAAGCACCAGATTATAACGCAGTAGGCGACTCAACAACGGCATTTCGCGATTGTATTCGAGGTCTTTACCACGGAATTCCGTAGATGTCGTTCAGGGGTTTATGATCTTATTACCAAACGACAAGCACTCAATTTCCTTCCTGTTCAAAAACCACTGAAAAATTAAACGTTTGTGCACATATTCGTCCTCATTTCAGTGTCCTAATTTCTCTTTAAAAAAATGTCCTTTTTTTCAAAACGTCAGCGAAGTCAGTATCTTTCTCCAAGTAAGTCTGTGAAACCATCCTTTATTTGATTAGTTTTCCAACAGGCAGTTTAGTCAAATGGTAGTCAGTACCACATCCTGACAAGGATCCAGGACCCATATCTCAGCGAATCGTCTAATTCAAGGTCAAGTAGTGCCGTAAAATTGTTGTAGCACTTTGAAGCTTAATTTGTGAGGTCTCATCGATTGCGTGTAAAACAGTCAAACACATGGAACACTGTTAAGCGTTGTTTTACAACTTCCGAAGTCAACATTTCGTGTAGGGAAGAAGCAAATCGGCTGAGCCGAATTCTTGCCTAATTTTGGGACATATGTTTCACAGAAAATTAAATAAAATTATCTCTAGAAATAAAAGAAAAACTGTATTTTTAACACATTGAATTCACTGTTACACAATGACGTATGGTTCTGTAAAATCATATTCCACCGTGGATATTTGCTTCAGAATTCGAAAAACTGATTTCTTTCTAAAAAATGTTTTCTTGTCAGAAGGTCAGCCAAATCAGCAGGAATGTAATGAAATGCTGCCACAGCCGCCTAACCACTGTCGCTCCCAATCACCCAACAGTTCGTAAAATAGAATAATCTTCCTCTAGAAAAAAATATCTTGTTTATGTATACAAAAATTGTTTTCGTTGCAAACACAAAATACATTAAACTACATCATAAAGAGATAGTGGTTGACAAGAACATAAAATACTGACAGAGCACTGGTAGTTTACATTGAGAAAGTGCTAAGTGTTAGAGAATTCGACCAACTAGGAACAGCCTAACTAATTTTTCCATTATAAATTTCACTTTCACAAACCACTGAATTTCTTCTAATGATGTCTCTCCTTTTGTAGGTCATCTGATACATTCAATTTGGCTTATCTACCTGACTTCTATCTCCGTTTCAACACCCTCGAAAACGATGACAGCATTTTTTTTCAAATTAACAACACTTTGGAGAGATAATCGTGCAGTGCCTTCAGAATCTCCGTGAAATCAAGCACAGGCTGCACGAACAAATGGTGCTCGGTGTTTTCTTATACCAATGACTTCAGTGAACTTGTGACTTGATGATGGGCATTAAATTTTCTCCCCGAACAAAAACACTGAAAAATTTGACGCTTGGACATCCTTCCACCGTGACCAAGTGGCTATTTACGGGGACGTTTTTAATGCAACCATGACAACTGTTAGTGCATGGATGTTCTCTTCATTAAGTACCGAAATTCGTGCCGATTTGCAGTGCTCTGTTTGGAGTGCAACTGCGGTGATTGACTAGTCGGCATTTTCCACAATAACCCACAAAACACTCGATTCTAACTGCCTAGGACATAGCAAACTGTCCTGAGCGACTGCCAGCCTTTGTGCCAAATTATCATGCATGCCCTCGTGCCTGTTTTGATGTTTCTCTCACGACCATATCATTAACTGGCACTTGTCAAATGCACCATGATTCCACATGACCTTGAAAATGTTTGTTTGAATTGATTTGAGTGCAGCGGAATGAAAAGCGACTTTCTGTCTGTGAGCTCTGTTAAAATGTCAATTGGATGAAAATTTAAACTGATTCACACGACGACACGGTAGGGAGCAAGCGTAGTGGTGGCCATGAGAAACCATTTTGCGCTTGAATGATGTTAGTGGGACTAAAAATTGCCACGTTCCGTGAATGCCTGTGTGTGACGAAAATAGTGGAATTCATTGTGGTTTCCATTGCAAATGGTAAACGTGACAAATTTTCAACTTGTTAAAAGGCGTGTTTTTGACCAGCATATATTATAGAAACATGCTCTTACGACTGTTAATGTTCCTGGTATCAGAGTATCATTAACTTGTGGTTGTAAATATACGCAGCAATTCAAAGCATCCTCGAAAAATGTTTCATTACATTGATTTGGGTTGTTAACTATCATAGAAGATGGAGAGGTTCATTTTAGACGTGTCGGGTTATTGAAGTTTAAAATAAGCTTTATTGTCTGAACTGTAATCAAAATATCTGATATATTGTCTGAATGTTAAGACTGTGCAACCGTTGCTTGCTGTGT